AGTGGATTCTGTTTACTCGTCAGACTCAACAACTTGTTCGTGAACTATTTAAACTATTCCTGAGTAGATCCACAGGTATTCATAGCCTAAATTTGGCAATGCAAGAGCGTGATTTCTGCCTACGTGAGAACCCAAGTAAATTCCTAGCATTAGATCACTATACTGGCGGTCAGGTGGCACTGAGCAAGATGCGTCATTTTAGTAGTGGTGGCGAGGGAAACCAATTTTATGACATACTGTCAAAATATTGCCATAATCTTAATTCACTTAAAATCGTTTATAATTCAGGAGAAACTTGCAAATTCGATAGTCTGATAAAGGTACAGCGACATTTGAGAAGCCTACAAATGCATCAGATGAGTTTGACAGAAGATATAATGAATGCCATAAGTGCCCAAAGCGAAAGTCTGAAGTCAATCGAATTCTGGGGTTGTCAGTTTAAAGATACGACGCTAAAAGCATTATCCGGATGCCATCACCTGGAAAGAGTTATATTTCATGATTGTGGAAACATGACGAAAGCGGTCTTAGCCCCGATGGCCACAGCATCATTCCCCAGATTGACCACCATTTATTTTAAATTTGGAGGGCATTTGGAACCAACCGACATACCCACCCGTGAACTGGCTCATCTTGTGGCCAATGCAAAGTCCACCCTTTCGCAACTATGCATTGAAGGTTTTGAGTATCCGTGTTCGGAGGTGTTCGAATCATTAGTTAATATTCGTCAACTGCAAAAAATCTCCATTCAAATTCAGACACCCGATGAATTCCCATTGGTACTCAACGTGCTGAGAACGTGTACAAATCTACGGTCCGTGTCCATTTCCGAAAACCAAAAATTCTTTACAGAAAACTTTATATTTACCATGGAATCAACGAACCAATATTTAGATGCGAATGAATTCTTACCACGTATATCACAAATATTGTCAGATCGAGTACAACATTTGGTGCTAAATATACCGAATTGTTGGGTGGCACCAGGAACGTTGAGGCAGTTCTTAAAAGACTGTAAGGCAAATTTGGAATATCTGAGATGGCAGAGTTACGAAAATTCTAGGTCGTTTGTGGAAGTCATTGAGGAATACGGCAAGGAAAAGCAACAAGAAATTAAATATGGAAATTGGAAGTGGGAACAAATAAGTGGTCAGGTCGGTCCGGTGACGTTGGATGTGGAATTCCGCAAGAAGAATGTTTCGTATTATAGGTATATCCAATGTTTATAAATTTGCTGGTGATGTTATTTACCCCGCTGTTATTTTTCCATTGACGAAATCTATCAACGTTCTCAATATAATAGATGGGAGCAAGAATTCAAGTTACAACATAACCTTATTGAGTTGCTTCAGTAATAATTTTCATTCCGAGATATCGCCATTATATAAAACCGATACAGTAACATAAATTTAGACTGAACATCCCAATCATTGTATAAATATCACATTGCACTAATTTAAAGTCATCATTTATTTCCAGACGCTTTTCTTTATAGATTTTTTTTTTTCAATCCAGGGATCTGTGAAAGACAGCAGTATAAAAAAGAAATAGACAAGAATATTATAATATTTAAACTAAAAATATTGTTTTACATTTGTAATTGTGAATTCCATTTCGCAAGGTTGAAATTCCTGTCATTGCCTCTGTAAATAGAATAATCAATCATAATACGGGACAATATTTTGCCAAGTCAACTGATTATGGTTCAATGATTTTATATAATACCATGGGAAACAAACTAGTTATGTAAAATTGCATCTTTCCTATTTACACCTTTCTCTTGTCATCTTGCAATCGTTATGTTCAAACCAAATGTTTGTACATTAACAAAATTTCAAAACTTTAGATGGTGCTTTGTTTAAAGTGAGTCAGCGAAGCTTCTAAAAATCTGAAGTTGGACGCATTAAACCAAACTTTCATGAAAACAGTGAACAGATCGTTTTATTTATCAAAATCAACATACTCATCTAATTCGCCATCGTTCAATACAGAGTCGACTTGTGATGTTTCGTGTCCAGTTCTTGAATCTTTGATCAACTAATAACCAAGATATGATACATTGAAACAAGAAGTTTTAAATAAAAAGCTCGCTTGCTTCCTATAAAAAAAACCACAATCACTTGATTACTTGATTATACCTGATAAGGATATAAAATATAGGATCTTATTTGTGATCCCCACGCATTTTCTGGTAATGATGAATGTAATCCGTGCTTCTCCGCCTTTCTAAAAATGCATGATAGTTAGAGTATGAAGATTTTTTCCTTAAATTGATAACGTATAGTATTTTAGTTCAATTACTTTTCTCTCATCATCCTATCATAAAGCCTAGCTCGAAGTATTTCCATTGCAGTTGATTTGTTTGAGTGTTGCGATCTTTCATTCTGGCACTGCAAGAAAAAAATATCAACAAGCATATCACATAAAAAATTAGAATTATAGCGATGAATATAATACTTGACCTGCACAACTATTTTTGTGGGAGTATGCGTAATTCTAACAGCGCTTGCGGTTACGTTCACCTATTTTCGCACTTCTTTGTTATGAAGATGTTATAATCGTGGGAATGAGGGCAATTTTAATGCCTTACGTGTTGTCCACCAGCTCCACTAGATCGAAATGTCTCTATTTTGAGATCTGAACTACGAATATTAATAGATTCACGACCATCTATTTCATCCTCAACAGACGGGAGAATCACGACAGATGCAAATGATGTGTGTCTTCTATTCTATACATTGTATTAGCATGATACGGCAGACCGAGGCCAATTAAACTCCAGGATATTCATGAATTACCTGTGCATCAAAGGGAGAAATTCTAACTAAACGATGAATTCCAGACTCGTATTTTGTCCAACCGTATGCATAGTCTCCATCAATTTTTAAAGAAGCCGATTTGCATCCTGCAATCTCATCATTTACATAATCCAATGTCTTGACTAAGAATGATATTAAAGCACCTCAATATCCTTACGATAAAAAAGCATAAATTTTAACATAATCATTTTTCTTGTGCGAACCTTGAAAACCGTTTTTAGTGCCCCATCTTACATACATTTTGTATAGCATCTCAGCCCAGTCACTGCTGTCTATACCGCCAGCTCCAGGAGTAATTTGAACGATACATCCATTTTGATCTGCATCATCGTTCCTATAAAATGAGACGTTTGCATTAATCGACAAAAATCCCGCTCGCTCTATGAAATGGACGCTTACATCAATGAAGTCAAGGTAAAAATTTTCAATTCTTGATTTAACGGATGCGCATCATTCAAGATCACATTGAATAAACCTTGATCATTTTCCTCTTTTGCCAAATCTATGATCAATTCAAAACAAAATAATTTGTGAATATAAAATGAAGCAATCAAAAATCTAGTCAAATTAACTTACCGATCAACTCCTTAACTTCCGTCACCTTTCTTGTAAGCTTTTCATAAATTTCAACTTCTCTCTGAATTTTAGCAGAATGTCTTTGCAATTTAGCCGCCACAGATGGATTATTCCATACATCTTCTGGCTTCTCTAAATAGACGCCTGAATTTTAGATTGACAAATTTTGCTAAAACAAATTCTGATTTCAATCAATCATACCTGCAACTCCCTTTCGGTATTCTCCAAATTTTTCTTTAGGTGTTTCCAATCTTTCGCGCGAGATAGCAGATCAATATTTTTATTCATTTCAATCAAAAGCTCCGATAATTTAAATCTTTCCATTGTAAAATTACGCAAATGACGTCCATGAATTTTGGTATCGTGTGGATTAAAATTGGTAAGCCTATTCCCAAAGCGATAGCCACATCGTGGACTAATTAAGACCTGACTTCGATAACTACGGGCAAAACTATTCATCGAATGAAACCTAGAAACATAAAGTAAATGAGTAAATGACAAGCGAACATAATGTATTGTGATGCTATGTAGTAAATTTCACACGATCTGCTGTGTAATACAACTTTCTTGTCAAGCATGCAAAAAAGCAATGAGCCACTTGATTTACAGTATTAAAATATAAAGTTTCATTAAGCGATTATTATTATACGTATTGCCAACTTTTGGGATTCCTTTTGAGATGATGAGATGAAAATATCCTAATCTTTGATCAACTCAAAAATTTTGACGTATAGCATTTTAAACAACTAGTGGGTAACCCTCGCTATGCTTCGGGCATAAGAATTTAATAGTAAATTAAATTGAAATTTTAATATATACGTA